CCTAATCCAAACGTGCATACACTGAACAGCACCATGAGCGCTACAGTGCATCGTTTACTGAGCACTTACTGTGAGTCAGACACTCATTACCTCATTTAATCCTCACAACATTCCCACGAGGTAGGTATCATCTTCATATTAAAGGTGACGTAACAGAGGTTCAGAGTTTATAGTTTGCATAAAGTCAAAAAGCTGGTAACAGCTGGACCTAGGAATCCCACCCAAGTTGATCAGACTCCAAAAGCCCATGCTTTATCCACTAATCATGTTGAGTCTGCAAGGAAAGCCCAGTACATTTATCTTGAACAGATACCCAGGTCCTCAAGTTAGCAGCACACAGTCAGCTGTTATGGTCTCACCGACAAGGCTGGCCTTTCTTGCATTCAATGTCTTTTTTTTTTAACCCCCTTTCAAAGTAAAAAACACTTAGTAGACACTGAAAAATTAATACTAGTTCCCTTGTAATTGACCTTTTAATTTTACAAGATTTCAAAGTAATGTAACTTTTCTATTTAATTGCTAAATTGTTCTCACTTAAAGTCACACAAAAAAGAACAAATACTAGATCAATTCTGTATTTCAGTCATATAAACAGAAAATAAACACGGTGTCTTGAAGATATTTTCCGTGCCTTGAAAAACAAAGGTCGAGTTCATCAGCATAAAACTACCTGGCATTTTCTCCTTCCAACTGGAAGAATTTTTAATCACGTCCCACAAAGAGATACCTTCAGGTGAGAGGAACAACGCCCAGGGCTTTCCCAGTTTTAGCACTGGAAATCCTGCATACTGGGAACCCCCTCAGTCCTGGGAAAATCTGGAAGATTAATCACTCTACAGCCCCAGGGTACCATATATATATGCATAGGTATGTTTTCAACAAAATTTATTAAAACGTAGGCTGTTTATACAAAATTGGAGATGAGCATTATTATACAGTATGGTTTTAAGATATCTGGGCAGCTAAGAAAGAAAATTATAAAGCTTTACATAATCAGGCTTAACCAAGAGAATGTAGCTGAGAACATCAAGTTTGTCAAATTCTTCCTTGGGATGATATTCAATATATGCACCAGCATTCACGTTCACCCAGTGGAAAAATGGGTTCCAAATGGACATTTTGTCTACATATAATATTGATACACTATATGGGGAAAGAATAAGAAAGGAATCAACTCTCAAGCAAGAATTTTAAAATAAGGACAGTCCCCAACTTACAATGGTTCAACTTACAACTTCTCAACTTTACAGTAGTAGAAAAGCAATCCCCATGCAGGAGAAACCCTAATTTGAACTGTGAATTTTGATCTTTCCCAGGCTAGTAATACGTGGACTGAAAGATACTCTCTAGCAACGCTGGGCAGTGGCAGCTCTGGGGCGGGGACTGGGTCGCTGGCTGGCAGTCATGAGGGTAAACACCCCCATACACTTATAACCATTCTGTTTTTCACTTTCACTACAGTATCCAATTACATGAGATACTCACTACTTTATTATAAAATAGGCTTTGTGCCAGATGATTTTGCCCAACTCTGGGCTAACGTAAGAGTTCTGAGCAGATTTAAGGCAAGTTAGGCTGAGCTATGATGTTCAATAGATTAGGTGTATTAAATACACTTTCATATTACGGTATTCTCAACTTGACGTTGCATTGATGAGGACGTAACCCCATCGTAAGTCAGCAAGATCTGTATCTCATCTCTGAGAAATGGTGGAAATGCCTAATTTTGATGTTTCAGTTTTGTGGTATGATGAGAGGCTAAATGCTCCTGGAAGAGCAGAAACATGAAATCTGAGTTAAAAGAGATTGGTCCATTCATTTACTCTTTAAGGTCCTTTCCAACTTGAACCCTCCACAACCCGAGTCATCACTCTGTGACCCCTTTCCTTTACAGGTGGAGCAAGTCAGGCCAGAGAGAAGCCTGACACTCCAGTTCTGGCTGGTGATGGAGCCTGGACTGTTGATTAGCCATATTCTCATCTGAATTATGCTTAGAAACACTTAGAACCAAGAGAGCACGTGCTCAGCAGGGGAAGACAGATGACAACATTCACCTCATGTTGGGTATTTCACTTACTTTAGCTCATAAACAGATAAACTGGCCTCAGGTTTTAATAAAGAACTTGGAGCCCAGAAACTCTTTAAGCTGTCATTAGTTACTTTCACCACACAATAGCACAATATTCTAAATATATATTGTAGTACTTTTCATCAACTCTCTAAACAAGCCGGAGGAATGAACACAGTAACTTGAAAACAAGTATCTTTGTAATCTGAAAGACCTTTAAAATACAGAAAACAACTTTCAAAACAAATTGCAGCTGCCGGCCAGTTGTCCCAGCTTCAGGATCTTTTGCAAGCAGAACTAGTATCTGCCTAGTTTAAGGAGTGCCCTTAACAAATGAGGAAGCTTGGTGTTTCTTTACTCTGACAACTTGACTCTTGTAACTGAGAGACATTACAAAAGAACACATGTCTACACACATTTACTCGTCCATCAATGTTACCATCTCTTAATCTGAGAAGGCCGCCAAATTAGAAAAACAGGAAAATCTGCCTTCAAGGGGAAAGATCAATTGTTCTAGGTAGCAGGTGCACACTGAGTAGATTTTCAGTCACTTTCGAGAGCGCCGAATCCTAACCACTAGACCACCAGGGTAGGTCAATCACTTTTGAATTTGCACTGATCCATCTAGATGCCAGCCTTGTGCCCCCATAGCCAATGGCACTGACCATTCCCAACCAATGGGTTTAAGGGTGCAATCTATGGCTGTGATGCTGACCAAAGCTTGCTTGTCCAAACCACTCTTACCTTGGCTTCAACTGGTACCCCTTTCCTACAAGAGGCAGCCGTGTGTACACACATTCTGCTAAAAGCCAGGGCTGCTGCGCTAAGGAACCTTGAACAAATCACTAACACCTCCTACAATGTTTCCTGTTTCCCTTATCTGTGAAAGGGGGTTAATAATCACACGTACTGTCTATAAAACCAAATGAAAAATAAATATATGAAAGAATACTTGAAAGAACTTTATAAATCACAATTATAACACATCATTTAACCAGCTTAGTTAGCAAGACCATATCTCTGACATAAAACTGCCCCAGGGGACATGTGAGTTCATACATAATCTGTTGCAAGTCTGTTAATAAAATACTTAATTGGGAGTTCGAGATTTGCAGACACAGACTGGTATATATAAAATACATAAACAAGTTCATATAGTATAGCACAGGAAACTATATTCAATATCTTGTAGTAGCTTACGGTGAAAAAGAATATGAAAATGAATATATGTATATTCATTTATGACTGAAGCATTATGCCGTACACCAGAAATTGACACATTGTAAACTGACTATACTTCAATTAAAAAAAACTTAAATACACAATAAATCGTTACTAAATTCAAAAGACAGCTTGAGCAAAGCACTATAAATACAGATAGGTAGAATTCTTTAGTATTCTAGCAGTTAGAATGGTACATTATGTGAACCTTATGCTAGAAATCACATGGGTGTTTTTTTTTTAATGCCAATTTTATATGTGCTCTCCTAGGTCTTCAGGATAAAGGTGCTCGTTAACCATTAATTATGTGCACAGTTCAATTCCCCAATAAAACTTCAATGAAAACACCTCTTACTTGTTTGCATTTTAATCTAAACTGCCCAGATCAACACAGTCCTCCAGTTACAGCCATATTCTGATTTGCAAAAAAAGAGTAAAATGGAATGGAAAAACCCACTACATCCACAGCTATCTACCACTATGAAGAAAAAGCAGAATGAAACAACAAAATTAAAGGCAATAGTACTTTTCCAGACACAGACAAAAAGTTCTTAAAAATTCCAATTTCTCAAACTCACTAATACTCAAAGTAACATAATACTCTTTTCATACAGGATGACTGGATCATCTAAAGCATAACCCAAACCCAAACCCAAACCCTATGATAGAATGCTTATATTAAAATATCCTTCACACAGTTATAAGCAGACTAATTTAAAAATTAAATTTTGCATATGAAATCTGTACAACTGGAATTGAGTGAAAACAAGAGTATGAGAAATACACTAAGTATTTTCATCTCTTGGAGACTTACCGAAATTATTGCAAGAAAGCCTACACAATGTAATGAAATAAAACCTGAAAATTGTGACTACATTTTCAGTCGACTTAAGACAGTTTGAACTGAAGGCAGTATCTCTCTTAAATTATTTTAAGCAAATTTTAAATTTCTTCTCTAACAGAACTAATACTTTCTTGCAACAAAATCAGACTGTTGTAGTCACAGGCAATATTTTCTTCAAGATTATGTAACTTCATTCTAAATGATACCTATGTCTGAGGCTACATCAAAACCAATGTAACTGAAAATAGAAATGGAACTGCTAGACATTCATTTTTAACAAAGATGGAAATTACTTCTTAATTTCCAGAGAGCTGTATCTGAGGAATGACTTTCTCAATAATCAGAATTATAACACAGCAAACACTTCATGTTAATAAGCCAAACTAAACCAGAGTGAATCATCGTCTAACATATATAGAACTGCAAGGCAAAGAGAACTAAGAGACTTTTTAAAGGTTAACTTTTCTCATTCTCTTAATACTTTCCAGGTTCAGCTGATGCATGAGACTCAGAAGCCTGTAAAAGCCTATTCGTCTCAATTACCAGGATTATAGCAAGTTCTATCCAAAGAGAAGGAAAACACTATCTGAATACCTGTTCTGAAAAGCCAGCAATAATAATAAATTTGAGAAACAAACCACCAAACAGAAAACTCTAGAAAGTACAGGCTTTCTTCCACCACCTCGCCTCACCTGACTCCAATCTTTAGCTCTTCACTTCCATTCCGTGGTTAACTTTCAAGATAGGAGGGGAGAAACCTGTTAGAACGGATTTTTAAAAGATAAATACTACAGGTGAAGCAGAAATAAATCTCTAAGGAAGTTGTCCACTCACTCCTTGTCCTACAACCCAAGAAGATACACCTACATGTATTCCAATCGGTGAAGCCGCAACCTAGTGATCTGCAAAGAAGATAGGACCTAAAACAAATCCCAGAGATGGCTACTCTCCCAAGCAGAAAAAAAAACTACTGTAGCTCTTCACCCAGGCAGCTTGGGGGTGCGGATAGTCAAACGAATTTCTGCCACTCACAAGTGCGGCATCCCCAGGGCGAGGAGGCAGGGCTGGGAAGAGGGAATCCACCCACAGCCCGCTCCACTCCGCCGAAGAGTCCAAGCAGCCCCGGGGCGGGGCGTGTACTCGGCTCCACCCGGAGACCGAGGAGGAAGCGAGCCGAGCAGCGAGGGAACGCCGGCGGGAGGCAGGAGGGCGCGTGAGCG